AAAAAACACTCAAATCATCTCTCTTGAATACAAGTGCTCACCTCTCACACAACCCAGCAAAACTAATCAAAAGGTGTACATAGATACAAGAGACTCTTTGAATAAATAAGCAAAAATAATAACAGCTTGACAACCTCTTCAATTAATTCGCTAAACCAAATCTATTACAGATCCTTGTTGCAACAATAACTGCAACATAGTTGTCAATGTCGACTTTCTCAAAACTAGTTCGAATCAATCTGCTTTAATTCTGAAACCTTTTCGAAACTGATATATGAACCTGGACACGTTCTTAGGAGATAGAGGAAGATCATCCAGCTACGAAATCTCCATCAAATATCAATCAAATCAATTTACCATCTTTGGATTAATAGTTGACTTTCAAAAATAGAAACTAAGATAAGTTTATAGATATTTCAGAAAACTACCATAAGAAACTTGTCAGCTGCACATCTAATCTCAACCACAATCAATCAGCCAATCATTCTCAAAATAATGTCAATCATAAAACGATTAGGATCAAACAAAAGTTAGACAATGTATTTGTCGTATAAGAATATGCGCCAGTACAAAACCCCGTCTAGTTCAACTCGACTACTTGAAAGACGCTAGTTCATCCTCGTATAGAGCTTAACTTCTGATCTCCAAGAATTAGTTTTCAGGCTAGACACACGAGCAAGTACTTTTTCGGAATCCATAATTTCTGCCATCTAAGCAACTTGTAATCCTTATCACAAGGGTCGAACACAGAATTTATCATATAATCACGTCAAAGGCAAAAAAGTTATCAACTGAAGGTTCTGGAAGTTTCCTAAACTCTCTTGTAGGTTCCATCGGATTATATTTAAGGAATTCTTCGAAGGACTTATAAGCAGACAAACCAAGCCATTGCTAAACACAGTCATATCAACAATAAATAATTTATAATATTATTTAAGATGCATGACGTATCTAAATTTCGATATTTGATTCGTCACATAGCAAAAAAATTTCAGAAGCAAAGAAACTTTTATTTTTCGCGAGAAGGAGAGACGAGCGATTAGAAGAGTTAGAGTGGTACTGAGACTGCTGAAGGTGAGTGGTGATGAAGTGAGAGTCGGCGGTGATGAGAGAATACCAGTTTCTTGAGACGCACTTGAATCGCATTAGAGATTTTGCTGGCAATTTTGTGAGGATTTTCATCTTCATGATATCAGCCGGCAAGCAATCGCCGCTTTGGTTTTCCGATTCAATGGTTCTTTTTCGCTCATTTCGCTATTTCACAAAGATGTTTTTATTTTTATATGGACCTGAGTGGTAGAATTCTTATTCGTAGGGTTTGTGTTAGACTTCTTTAGTGATATTCTGTTCTCGGTTCTATGTTCATAATGTTGGTTTTATTATTATTATTATTATGAAACTATTGTTATTATTATTATTTGAATGTGAATATGAATATGAATTAAGGAATGTTTTAAAATTATTCAAAGTTCTATATCATCTATACTTCAAAATATGTTGCGTATTATCTGCATTATTTAAAAAATCAAACAAGTTGTTAAAAAAAAGAACAAACTACAGAGTGACTTTCTTTTCAAATACACATTGTGTAATTTGTTTTAAAAAAAAATTCTCAATTTTTAAAGATTTTTTTTTTTTTAAATTTTGATATCCTCCATTTTATACATTATATTTTGAATTGTATTAAATTTATACCTTCACATTTAAAATTCATGTTAAATCTTTACATTTTTTTTTGTCATAGATTGATGTTGATAGTGAAACTAATCTAATTGTCCTTCACATGTTTGTATTTTTATTATTTTGAGTTTTTATTTTTTCTTATATTCTTTCTTATTTAAGGGCGTTGGGTCTTTTTAGGATCAAAATTGATAATTGACTGATAAAAAGGTATGAATTGAGCATAAATTCAAAATTGGAAAGCATGAATGTGATAAAATTAAAAATAAAAGTCATGATCTTTTTTATAACCTAGAAAGGGATGGCATAATTTTGATTTTTTTAATATAATTTTGAAATTTAAGAAATTCAAAATCTTATTTTCAATTTTTAACAGGACTAGTGCCGGGTTAAAACGAAGTTAGTGTCATGGTCGAATCGGGATCACAACCTAAGTTAGGGCTAAGGTGTGGTTAGGGTTGGTTGGAGTTGTCATCAGGGTGACATGGTCGGGCCGAAGCCAACATCACGTCATGGATGGGTTGGTGTTAGGCCAAAGTTGGTATAGTAGGTTGGCTTTAAGGTCGGGTTGAGGCCCGACTGAAGATCAACTTTGGGGCCGGGGCTGAGATTGGATCTTACATCAAGTCTTACAAAATCATTGGGCTGATATCAAGACTACACCTGAACTAGGCATAAACGAGCCCCATAAATCTTGATGAGTATCAAAAATCTTTTGTATAAAGAAATTGTGAGAGGAGAAAAAAAGGGGTACATATATAGCACAAAAGAATGTAGATCGGTTAACAGGGAAATCAATGAAAATACATTAATTAGTTTTTTTAAATACCTTAATTAAATTTTAAAAAGAGTTTAGTGGGCAAAATGACAAAATAAGTACCAAATATACCGATAAACTAAAGAAAAATATTTTTCTGCTGGGGCACGTGAAGTACGTATGAAGAAAGAATCACTACAGAGGTTTTTGAGGTTTTATTATGTTTGACAATCTTTACGGTGGAGCAAGCTATCTTGCTTCACTGGTGGGGGCAAGTATTTTTACCGTTGAATTAATTTTTCAACGGTCAGATATGCAACAGGAGCAGTTCTATGTGGTGAGTTGTAAATTTTTAATACGGACATGCACAGATCTAGCCGTTAAAAAACTAATTTAACAGTTGAAAATACTTAACTTGCTCCACCGTAAAGATTGTCTGTTTTGTTTGATATATAAAGTTTCATAAGGTCGGTGTCACTAACATTCACGATATATTTTTTTAATTGCCTTCTTTTTTTCTTCCTCAACATCTTTTCCACATTTTTGGGTGATACCTTTTTCATTTACAAAGTTTTTCCCAATACTATATTCATATTTCACCTTCCAAAGAACATTACTTATTATTAACAGCTTTCTATACTAATGAAGAAAGAGATTCTTTCCTTCTATTTTATTTTAATTTCCCCTTATCAAGAATAAGATTTCTAATAATAAGTAATTCCAAGTTTTTTCCTGAATAATGATAAATTCTAAGTTACTATTATATTTAGGGTTTCAATTTTTTAACCAGACGTGCACATAACAAATTCCGCTAGCCACAAAAACTTTTATTTAGGTCGTTAAAGAACATCAATACCCAACTTCTGAGATCACGTAGTACTCAACAATTTAGCTCCGTGAAGTTCTCTCCAAAGACTAATTTTTTAACCATTAATATATTTCTTTCTTTTTGTTAATGATAAAACAGTTACTTAATCGGTGAAGTATTATGAACGTAACTGCAGAAGTATACGCATTTCTTTGTGTGATGTAACCTTTCATTTAATTTATGAGTCACGTTTCATATATAGGCAAATTCTGAAATTCTTATGACACAAACGCACATATAGAGGAGGGACAAGTATACAATTCATTTTGAGACAAGAAAAATTAAGCACTTATTATTGCATTTAATCTTGTGCTGACATTTAAGAAATTAAAGATTAAAATACCATTCAATTTTGCTTTGTCACTAATTCTAAAAACTGTCCAAAGACTCCAAACCCAAACTGGCACATTTATCTCTAACCTAATTAGTAATTACAAGTAATTCCTCTCTTGTTTAATCTCAAGGAACTGACCAAATTAACTCTCCCATGCCAAAATAATCACAACTGCTCAACTTGGCGTAGTCATCTAGTAATCTAAAAATTTCATCTCTCTCTCTCTCTCTCTTTTGAGGTCGATAGACACCTAAATCTTACTTAAAAACAGCTAATTGATGCTAATTAATAGTGCCATAATACAAAGGACTAAACTTTGGTACAAATTAAGCTGAATTTGTCTTCTTTATCTTGCCTTATTGTGCATGTGATTATTGTAGTTGCCAACTTTGTGATGCACTGATCTGTCATTAATTACATAGATTGGTTATATACGTATATTTTATTAATTTAATCAAAGAATCTAGCTAGTATAATCCGTACGTTACCCTTTACAGTCTTACCAAATTAAACCAAGTTGGCACTTTGGATTTTCAGAAATGAATGCTTGAAACCTCTAGACTAGTCAAGTTGATTTGAGCAAACTAATTAATTTGGAAAACGCATATAGGAATTCCATTAATATGTTTTATATGAGAAATTCAATCCAATATTGTAAGTTTACAATTAGTAATTTATATAACACCACCCACTAGAAAGACTTAGGTAGAAGTGGAACATGATTTCAGAATATGCTAGGAAGGAAGCATTCTAAGGTTTGTGGGTCATCAAGTAGTGGATAATTTACAGATATTGCTTAGGTGTACTTATTAGGCTAGTACTAGTAACTAACAAAGAGGTGGACCAAACAAAGAAAATGACAAAAAAATTAGCCAAGTAGATGCAATTTTAAAGTGGCATCTTGTTATTAAAAAGAGAAAAAGGACAAGAGGAGGATTCATGTGGGAATTGCAGTAAACCCACTGCCTTTCTGTACTTTTATTGTATTCTTGTCACTTACATTAGAGAGACACAGATAACCAGCAGGCTTTCTTGTAGTTGAAACAATGAAACTTTTCCTTTTTTTTTCTTACCTTTTTTTTTTCCTTAAAAGAAAAATTATTCTTTTCTTTTGGCTAAAATGAAAGAATGAGCCAAACCCAATTGGGGAAAAATAAAGACCAATTGGAAAAGCATAAAAGACGATACCCCATCATGCACTTTTCATGAATTGAAAGCCTTTCATAACACAAAAGAATCAAAAAGTCCATATAACAATTGCTCATCAAGATGATCTCATCATCATCAATAAAAAGAATGAAAAGAATCTTATAACTTTGCATTTGTGAAAAAAGTGTATATGAAAAAAAAAAAATCGGTAGTCTTAACAATTCACATCAATATGTGACTTAATTTTTGAGATCAATAATCGTGGCACATAATAAACCATAAAAAAAATATTAAAAAAAATTAACCTCTTTCTCCCTTCTTAATAATGACAATCCACCAAAGCCGGTGCGGAGAACACGAGAGACGATTGTTGTTGCTGCTGCTGTTGTTGTTGTTGTTGTTGCTGCTGCTTGGACGTAACAAAACCGAATTTCGAATCCCGTTGATCGTCTTCCGGCGCTGGAAGATTGAGATCCAAATCCAACGACAAAACATTTCTTGCTTTTTTTGTATGTTGTTGTTGATGATCATCTTCATGAGCCTCCAAGGCCATTAACGGAGTAGCCGAAACAGTACTCAAGGACAAGGCGGTCGCGGCTGCGGCGGTGGCTGCTACGGTCCCTGCCGGAGCGCGGTGTCGTCTCATGTGCCCGCCCAACGCCTGGCCGGAGGTGAACTCCGCGCCGCAAATCGAGCACTCATGAACCTTGTTGGGCGACTTGTTTGTGATGTGGTGATTGTTGTTGTTATGACTAATTCCATACAAACTCCTGTTGTTCAATTGCAGAGAAAGCGTCGTGGACGAAATAGTATTGTGGTTGCTCTTGGTTAATTGCAATTGATCTTCGTCGTCTGACTGTAAAGCGAACAACTGAGTTTTCTTCTCGATTTCGGCCATGGCCTTGGGCTTCTTGTGGCTCGCTCTGTGACCGCCGAGGGCTTGGAAAGACGGGAAAGTCCGGTTACACGTCTTGCACTCGTAGACATAATACCCAGCCCTGCCCGCACCGGGCGCATTCGTCGCTTCTAAAAATTTCCGGCTGCTGTACTTAAAAGCACTCCCGCTGCCGTCTTCCGTGTCGATGACAATCGGAGGCAGCGCCTTCGTCGGCGTTGCGGATCGCCCGCGGAACCGGCCTTGCGCGAGGAGGATTAGGCAGTTGGCCATGTCCTCCTCTTCCTCCGTGCTTATGTCTTGAAGCTCCGCGGAAGTCGTCGGAGACGAGGAGTTGTTGCTATTGTTGCTGTTGCTGTTGTGGTGATTGTTATTGTATTCGCCGCCGTAGGAATTGGTCGCGGCGGCTACGGCGGCAAAAGGCATCGGAGATTGTGGTCTTTGGCGCTTGGTGCGCTTGCCCTTTGCAACCACGGTATGATCTTTGGATGTGGGATTGACTTCCTCTTGAGCTGTAGCTTCCATGGTTAATGTGGAGCCAGAGAGAGAGAGAGAGATTGAAGGGTAAAGAGGAAGCAAGGAAGAGAGACTTTGGCTTTGGATTGTATATATAGAAACTAGAGAGAGAGAGAGAGAGAGAGTGATGAGAATTGTCTTAGTTTAGAAATTGGAGTCAAAAGGACACCCAATAGAACAGTAACTGTGAATTAGTCTCTCTCTTTCTCCAAGGCCAATATTCTTTCTTTAGTTTACAACCACTGAAAGGGTATATTTATATTTATAGTCTAGTTGGAATGGGGGAGTTTCTTTGTTGTATTTTTAGTACAACGTTTTTAGCTAGAGATAGAAATCAATTAAAGGGAGTTTTAGTAAATTGGGTTAGGAACACCACAAATTAAGCAATTAGGATCAAAGGGATTTAGCTAAAAACAAACAGGAGCGTAACGGAAAAGTTACAAAATTAGGATGAGAGAGGGGTAAAAAAAAATAATAATAATAAATTAAAGAGAGATTATTTAAGAGTTTAGAAGGGAAGGAGAGAAGAGGTTGTTAAAAGGTAAGGGTCCGTTTCACACTCTCTTTCTCACACTTTGCCAACGCACTTCACGTAATGAAAACAACCCCTTTTTCTCACCACCAATATCCTAATTGCCATTTTTGGTTGCACGTTATTAGCGTGCTACCTTCGTTTTTCACTTGCCACTTGAAAGATGATGAAGCTAATTAGCCTTATCGATCATCTATATTCTGGTCATGATATCACCTTCTATAGCATAATTAAATTAATACCACAATTTCGAGAAGAGATATGTTAAATGCACTCGCCAGTATCACAAGTGCACGATATAAACCGTTGGTTTCTATAATGCCCACATGAATAAACGTCCTATGTCGTACATTTGTAACATACTTGTAAGTGCATTTAACATTTCGTTAATGATAAGTTTCGCTCAAGTTATGTTTTCTTAATGGGATTTTGTTTGATAAATCATATTATAATTGTAATTTTCATTGTTGTATAGTAAATTGAGGTACCAAGTTGCCATTAGGGGCTGAATAGATAATTAATGACTTATAGTACATAAGAGTGGCAAATTTCCTCACATAATGTACGTATTCATGTTTAACCTAGTTGCATACGTACTTGACAAGTAATGCATTTAATTTAATTATAGTTTGCAAAGAAACATTTGTTGATTAAATCATTCTAGTTATGTAGTCCGAATAATCTGAAAACTATACATGTACCCAATAACTAAGTGTGATCTTAACTTTCAAGTACCTTACAAGTTACAACTTAATTAGATGTATATATATATATATGTATTCTTTTCTTTTCTTAAACTAAGCTTCGATAATTGAGATGCAATAATTTGGAATAGGGTTTTAATCCACATTTCCTCTTCTTTAAGGAATATTCACATATCGATTGGTTTTTACACAGGCACATATAATTAATTAATTACACAGTTATATAATTATATATGTATAGTTGCCCAGAACAAAAGGAGTTGAAAGACGCCACAGAAGAAGGGAAGGAAGCATGTCGATTGGTTTTTACACAGGCACATATAATTAATTAATTACACAGTTATATAATTATATATGTATAGTTCCCCAGAACAAAAGGAGTTGAAAGACGCCACAGAAGAAGGGAAGGAAGCATCAACCATGTTCTTTCTTGTGACGGTTGGAGAACTTTCCAAGGCGCGTGTCAGTTACAGTCCCACAGTGAAGCAACACGTATCTTGAAGAAATGATATATATATATATATATATATATATATACTGCAAAAGAACAGCCTCATACACATGTTGTATATACATAATATATTATATCATATATATATGCACACACACACACATAATATATGTATATATTGTTTTTAGAGAGAGAAAGAGATTAAGGAGGGGGGTGGGGGTGTGAAGGCAAACAAGCAAGCAAAAGGCCATTACTTTGCCTCAACGACTTGTGTAAGAGATGATTGGAGTGCAAGCCTGGAACCACGGAATCTGCGGTGCTCCCCCCACTTCCCACTCCTTCTATTATCCTCTCTCTCTCTCTCAATATTTTTTGTATTGTATTGTTATTTCATGTTGTCATTGCTTGCATGACCACCCATTACATGGAATTCTTGTGTGTCCTATTTCCTTTCTAATTCTCATCATTACCAAAACTTGGTAACAAAATCCATCCTCACAGCCTAGCATTAGCAATACTTCTGCTCCTACCTTTCAAGGATATATTTTATCTTTTAAGTACTACTTTCCTCTCACTTTTTATTTTTTATTATTTTTTGCTTAATAATTCTCTCTATTTTCTAAGTAACTAAAGTTTAATCTTTAAGCGAATTCTACTAAATCATGCATATTTATAGGAACTAGGAGCTAATTAATTAAATATATGTCACATTAGTTATTAGTGGTTATACCATCTAATGAACTTGCTAAATCCTAAATCATTAGATGCGTCAAGTGTAAGATTGTAGTACTAGTGTAAAAAGGTTCTGCTAAATATTAAAAGATCCATCTTTGTCAGCAATGTCATAGAGTACTCCATAGAATTTTTATGCCAAATAATTGTGAGAGTATGGTGAAATGGGCAATACTGCAAATGCCATGATAAGTACTGTGAAGCTTTTCACAGGGCACCAAATTAATTGCATCAACTTCCTTAATAAAAATAAAAATGAAAATAAGCTCACGCAGAATATTACTAAATGTTAGGTCTAGTTAAAATAACATTAAAATAGAAAAATATGCAGAATTAATAAGATTTAATACAGATCGACGGTTTAAAACTGAGCATTATTAATAAGGAATTTTCGTACCCACCAAAGAATTATCATAATAAATCACACAGTAAAATTCTGTAGCATTCACTCGTTATCAGTTATGTGTTCTAGTCTGTGCAAAAAAAGTTTTTTTTTTTTTTTTTTTTTTTTTATCTATCCCTAGCACGATTTAATGGTAATATACTTTTTGATACTTAATTAGGATTGCAGTTTCCTATTTTAAGTACCGTATCTCAGTTCCTCCTTAATAAATAAATAAATAAATAAAATGACCACTCTCCCCATGGGACCATCCTAGAATATTATGGATCTAATTGAGTCCCATCCTTTGCCAATTAAGAGGAGATGAGGGAAAAAACTGCGCGTAGTTAATTGAGTTTGGCCGTAAAGGAGGGCTCCCTAATCTTCATTTTATAGTTTAATTCATACCCGCCCTAATTAGACCATTTGAGACTAAAATATGAACACATAATAAAATGAAAAAACGTACTATAGTCAAAATCATATCAAAATTGAAAAGTATTTAAGGCAGATAATTTTTTCATATACAAATTTTCAAGGTTTAAGAAAGAGATTTATTGGTATTTATTTTTTAAGGTCTACCGCAAAAATCTCCTTATTATATATAAAGGCCAATTAATGACCAGTAAACTGGTGGAAATGTATATATATATATATATATAGCACGCATAGTAATGTTTAATTGTCATGTTATGTTATAGTTAATTGGACGCCGTATTATTCTTTTAATTAGTTTTCAATTTTGCATGTAGAAAAACCTTTAGATGGTGTCCTCTCTATGAAAAGATGAAGAACTTCAAAAGCTTGTCTTAAAGTTAATTTATGTCATTTTTCTATATTAATTAGGACTATACCTTCAAAAACAACAAAGAAATTAAGAAGAAAGACACGATTGTCTTTTCAGATTTTTCTTTAATTATTTTATTTTTGAGGACCTTTTAATCAATTGCCTTTTCTCGTTTCCCTTTTCTTTCAGTTTCATGATGTGAAAAACCCCCCAAAAAAGAAAAATAAAATGCATTGCCATGTGGTATACATTACATAGCATCACGTCCTTTAAGACTAATTTGTGATTTTGACATTCTAATAATTTTCAGATAAAAACTTTAATTGTGATGATAATTCCAAGTACAAGAGCAATTGTTTTACACCGCGGTGTGACCCCATTAAAAAAAAATTGACATAACACGTGGCCCTCAGTCGAACAAGTTGCACAGAATGTAAGTGAATTCACGGGTCAATATAAGAAGATTTATTTCCTTCTTATAGTGAACTTGCATAAAAATTAAAATTAATCAAACACTCAAGGCTGCTGGAGATTTTAAAACACATAGGAAATTGGATAAGTATCTTTGTGAATGTTACACATAATGTGTTATAATGTAGGTTGTACACATTATTGTCTCTAATCATTCGTTCCCATGTGACGTTGACCCTGCCTTCAATATTCTAATTTTATTAATTAATTATTTTATTGCATATTTTAACTTCGCGTTAATTCATTAGCTCATTATAAAGCAAGAATATGTATCTGATTTATTGAAGTGCGTGATTAAGTTCTATCCAATCATTGAGGGTTACTCTAACTCTTGGTTGGAGGCCTCGGATCACTGACAAATGTCATAATCAAATAGGCAAGTTTTATTTAAAGATGATTAATTTTAGATAAGTAATTCACAAGACTAATTAAGGAGATATATATTTTTTAATTAGCAGTAATAATAGTTGTGAACCAAATAGTTTGTGTCATAATCACGATATATCAATTTGGAATATGGATTGATCAAATCATTTGCTGCTCAGTAGTTAGCGATATATATGGTGGTTGTTCATATAAATATATATATATATATATGTATATAATTTTTGTACTTTTCCTTTTCTTTTCAAGTGGTTCAGTTGGGAAAGGGAAAAAGTGGACAAAACATCAAGCGCCATACATTACTTTGGAGTGAGCTATATTAACTAGCTAAGGTTGTCGCTCTTGCAAATAATTCGTCTATCTTATCTCCATTTCAGTGGTTCTGTTAGAGAAAGAGAAAAAGTATACATCAAAGATTAAAAAAAAAAAAAAAAAAAAAAAAAAAAGGGAAAAAAAAAAAAAAAAACGAAAAAAAAAAAAAAATGTTAAAAAAAAAAAAAAAAAAAAAAAAAGGGAAAGAAAGAAACGAAAACTGACAAAATAAGTCATGTATTAAAAAAGGGTCCAGCTTGAGCTTGCTGAATTTGGTAAACTGACA